AGTACTCCATCACAATCCTGATTTCTGTTTTGTAGATGGTGAAAAGGCTTCAGGGAGTTGGCCCCATTCAGTTTCTGGTCAGTGACAACCCCTGGATGTTGATAGTGGGAGATTCAATGATGGTAATGCTATTAAATGTCAAAGGCCGATGGTCAGATCCTTTCTTGTTGCAGATGTCCACTCCCTCCACTCCCTAGTACTTATGTAATGCTAATGCTACTTACCATTTGTCAGTCCAAGCCTGGATATTGTCCAGGTATTGTTGCATTTGGAGATAGACTGCTTCAGTGTCTGAAGGGTTGTACATGGTGCTGACTATTGTCCAATCAGCAGCAAGCATCTCTGCTTTAGACCTTATGATGGAGAGATCTTTGATGTACCAACTGAACATTGTTGGGCCCAAGATGCTCCGCTGAGGAATTTCCACAAAGAGGTCATTAAGCGGGATTATTGACTCCCAATAACCACAACTAACTTCCTCTGTGCGAGGAATGATTCCAAATAATGAAGAGTTTCTCCTCCAAATTCCCATTGTCTCCATTTTTAGTAGATTTCTTGATGCCACATAGCATCAAATCCAGCCTCGATGTCAAAGGTGGTCACTCTCACATTTTTTTTCTATTCATTTGTGGGATGTCAGCATCTTTGGCTAACCAGCATTTATAGCCCATTCCTAGATGCCCTTGAGAAGGTGGCGGTGAGCTGACATCTTGAACCGCTGCAGTCCACCTGCTGTAGGGACAGTGACCCAGCGACAGTGAAGGAACAGCGATATGGTTCCAGGTCAGGATGATGAGTGGCTTGGAGTGGAAGTTGAAATTAATGGTATTCCTTATATCTGCTGCCCTTGTCCTTCTAGATGTGAGTGGTCATGGATATGGAAGGTTCTGTTTGAGAATCTTTGGTGAATTTCTGCAGTGTATCTTGTAGGATAGTACACACTGTTGCCATTGAGCGTCAGTGGTGGAGGGAGTGGATGCTTATGGATGTGGTGCCAACCAAGCAGGCTGCTTTGTCCTGGATGGTGTCAAGCTTCTTGAGTGTTATCGGGGCTGCACTTACCCAGGCAAGTGGGGAGTATTCCATCACACTCCTTATTTTTGCCCTGTAGATGGTAGATAGGCTTTCAGGAGTCGGGATGAAGTTATTCTCAGCAGTATTCCTAGCTTCTGACCTGCTCTTGCAGTCAGTGTGTTTATGTGGTGAGTCCAGTTCAGTTTCTGGTCAACAGTAACCCCCGGATGTTGATAGTGGGGGATGTAGTGATGGTAACACCATTGCATGCCAAGGGGCAGTGGTTAATTTTTTCTTATTCGTGATGGTCATAGCCTGGCATATGTGTGGCACAAATGTTACTTGCCACTTGTCAGCCCAAGCCTGGATATAGTCCAGATCTTGTTGCATTTGAACACGGACTGCTTCAGTCTCTGAGGTGTCACGAATGGTGCTGAACATTGTGCAATCATTGGCGAACATTCCCATTTGTGACCTTATGATAGAGGGAAGGTCATTGATGAAGCAGCTGAAGATGATTGGGCCTGGGACACTACCCTGAGGAACTCCTGCAGAGATGTCCTAGCGCTGAGACGACTGACCTATAACAACCATGACCATCTTCCTATGAGTCAGGTTTGACTCCAACCACTGAAAAGTTTGCCCCCGATATTCACTAACTGCAGTTTTGCTAGGGCTCCTTGATGCCACACTTGGGTCGAATGCAGCCTTGATGTCAAGGGCTGTCACTCTCATCTCACCTCTGGAATTCAGCTCTTTTGTCCATTTTTGACCCAAGGTTGTAATGAGGTCAGGAGCTGAGTGGCCCTGGTGGAACCCAAACTGCACTTCACTGAGCAGGTTATTGCTGTGCAAATGCTGTTTGATAGCACTGTTTATGACACCTTCCATCACTTTACTGATGATCAAGAGTCAACTTACTGAGTTCAGTTCTTTTATCCATCTTTAAGCTGAGGCTGAGCTGAATAGTCCTGACAGAACTCAAACCGAGTGTCAGGGAGTTGGTTACTGCAAAGCAAATACTGCTTGATTGCACTGTTGATGACCCTTTCCATCTCTTCACTCTTTACCGAGAGTGATAGGCCACATTGGATTTGTCCTTTCTGCATACATTACAAACCTGGGCAATTTTCCACAATGTCAGGTTGACGCCAGTGTTGTAGCTGTACCAGAAAAGCTGGGCTACAGGAAAGGCAGGTTCTGGAGCACACATCTTCAATGCTATTGTTGGAATATTGTCAGGACTCAAAACCTTTGCAGTATCCAGACCTTCCAACATTCCAACATCACATGGAGTAAATCAAATTGGCTGAAGACTGACACCTGTGAAGCTGAGGACCTCTGGAGAATGCCAAGCTGGATCATCCACTCAGTACTTCTGGATGAAGATTGTTCCATTTTGCAATGAGGCAGCTCTGCACAGGGCTTTCTGCTTCCACATGTCTCTGTCATGCCTGCAAAGGTATTAATTGATGGTTTCTTCACCTTGAAGCTCATTACTCTACACAATCTGGATTAACCAGAACCTGTCAAATTCTAACTAATTTAAAATGATATTTTGCATCTGCAACGACACAAAATCGGGCATCTCATGACCTTCCTGAGCTCCATCACCATAGCAAATCTACATGAACACACTCATTCTCACTTGAATCCTCCAAAAAGTGTTAACCTGATATGTAACTACAGATATCTTCCACTCCACTGGCTGACATTATATTCCACTCTCAACCATTACGCTGGTGGTCTGAAATTTCTCCCCAGTTTCAAAAGGTTCCTCAAACTAGTTCATGACCATACTTTTGGCTACACTGTGCAAAACTGCTGCTTGTCTTTCTGCTCAGCATCTGTTCATTCTCAAGTGCAAGGAGAACTCCAGGTTAATATATATTTGAAATAATCAATTAGAACTAGCTTCTATTTGCTCAAATATAACATTACTAAGGACGAATATTATAGCAATCAACAAACATAGTTCAAAACAAACTGCCAACCTAAGGCATTTGCTATTTCTTCACATTTGATGCTATTCCTGCAGGAGCTCTACAGTCAACTTTTTAATTATAAATTGCAAAATCCTTTTATAAGCTTATGGATTTAGCAGCAATAAATATAAAAGTATGATGAATATACACTTGTCATTTATTGAATTCCACAGGTTGCACCAGTGTTTTCCATATGAATGAAATGGTGTTGGGGTAATCATTCTACCAGAATACATATAGCTGGAGGAAGAGGAGGAAAAAAAATACTTGTGGATATTTTATTTTCTCTTTGGCATGTTTGCCTTCTTTCTCCTCAGCTTTGAAATTCTATATCATGATCATATTATGCATTTTTCTTTGCTGAATTGTTGTTGTTACATGCAGCTTTATTAGGTTATAAAATGTCAAGAAGATTAATATTGAAAACATAAGATTACTCAAGTTACTTTAAAACTTTTGCTGAACTACAAACTATTAGATGTACTAATGGTTTCCATTTACATTCAGATAATAGTTGAGCCATACAAAATCAAAAATGGTTTTAGACTCACATGTTTGTTTACATTACCAAAGTAATGAAATCATGACTATTGGTCCCAGTACCCCTACATTGGGCAGTGAAAAATGGGGTAGATTTTCTAGTCTTCTATGCAGCAACTGCTGCTGGAAATTGACTAGTATCAGGTAGGACTAGAAGTGGCTTAGCTGTGATTCCCTATAGTCAAACATTCTTTCACAACAGAGTTAAAGTTCACAGACCAGTAACAGTCACTTGAAAAGTGTTCAGAGAGCAACAGATATCTGTTGAATTACTCTCTAGCAAACAGTGAATGCCTTTGACTGTGAAGATGAGTGTACTGGCCAGAAGAAAACTGAGGTACGACTTTAACAAAAACAAAGTTACAAACTTCTGTTCCTTTGATGTTTATCATTTAGTTCCTAACCAATTTCTCAAGAAGAATTCAGCAGCTTCTGATAAGCCAATATTGGTGTCTTTGCAACACCTAAGGTTGTTTTTAATTTATCAAGCATGACATAGATAACCGGAAATATTGTTTAAAAGAAACAGAATTCCAGGATGTTGCCCCATTAGATTTCCTTTGCAACACATGGGTTAAAGACCTTCAGGCGACAGGAGGCAACAAGAGGCTAAAATTGCTAACACATCCAACCTGAATAATTTTACCTATACTGAATAGTTTGTTTCTGAAACCAAATAACAAAATTTCACAGTTCTAATTAACTAATTTAGAACTATTACAGCAAATGAACCTCACTAGTTACTACTTGTAAGTTGAAGTCATTTTACAAGATCCAATTCGTATAACTGCAGAACAATGCCCGGTAATCATTTCAATGTCATCTTACAAACATCTGATTCCTAATACCGTTATCTAAACATAAACTAATGATCAGAAACTTAAAAATTATACCCATTGAGAAAACTACTAACTGCAATTTTACACAAGAATCCAAGGTACAATTTAAACAATAAAAAAAGCAACTAATCTATAATATATGTAGTTCGCCCAAATCACTCAATCTTCACTCTGTGGCTTGATGTCAACTGAAAACTCACTATCCAATTTCCATATTTTCTATCCCTTGTATCTGTTTATCTGAGGACTGATAACACACTTTATGATGAGAATGAGACTCTCCGCGCATGAACAATGATATGAATAAACCTAGAGCGAAACATACTGGCATTTCTTAGAAAAAGAAAAGGCTGTGTGGGTCCTTGATCATTCTAATTGGTGAAACTTCTCTTGTGCTGCCAACCGAATACCATACAGGTTGTGTCCGCGCCGGGCCGCCGGAGACAACTTGTATTTCCGTCTGTCCACTCCTCTCCTCATTGCATGCTAAAGCCTTGAACCCCCTCCCTCCTCTGACTGCGGTAGAGACACCGACACAAAACTCCACCTTATCCCACTGCCTTCCACCTCGTTGACAGTTGAGATCGTCGCGCGCTGCTACTTCTCCTTGGCACGTACTCACCTGTCACTAACGCAATCCCCATCAGATGTTTAGATGGTGTTTGATCTAGATATTTCGGACCTTTTTTGTACCGCCAGTACCTCTTTCTCTTAATACCAGTTTTACAGAGATTTCCACTGACACGAACCCTCCTACAAACACCACGTCAATTTCTGTGCACCCCCATCAACACACACGCGCAGGCTTCGTTTCCCAGCCTGCCTTGCGAGTCACCTGGTTGGGGGTGGGTGGAGGGAGAGAAGGGGGAAGAAATGAAAGAGAAGGAGGAAATTGACCTCCTTCCCAGCAGTCTCTGTGGAACAGATATCCCTCATACCACCCAGCAGCCTTCGCGCTGAGAACACCTCCTGCGTTTCTGATTGGACGGGGCAGAGAGCAGATTAGGATTGGTTCGCGTGATTTCTTTTCCCGACAGACTTTGCATCGTAATGTTGCGTTTGGATGATTTGGCGGTTTTGAGTAGTGTAGTGCTGAGGTGTTATATACGTCTTCATTTACACCGAAATGTCTGAAGCGCGGAGTGAACCGTGTCTTCGCTGTGGTCGTCACACTCCAATTGTCTGTTTCGGGCAGGTTAGTGACATGAAGACTCCATCTGGTGCTTTCACACCTGTGCGCTAATTCGGAGTAATGGCCTTTCTTTTCACTTCTATAAACAGCGAGATCACGTTAGAATCTATGTGAGCATTTGATTCCCAGGCAGTAAGGATGGCGAATTATTCGCATTTTGAAGAGCACTGCCAATTATTTGCGCAGTTTAGATATTTCTTAAAACTGAACGTGTCAAGTTGGAATAAAGGCCAACATTTAGCAAACAAATGGATACTTGTGTTCACTGAATTCACAGACTTTGTAAAGTTCCCATTTTTATGGGCACCTGTCCCCGGCCTAAAGCAACAGCTTCTCTTCAATGTACTTGATTGCTAAAGGAATATTCAAAAGTTGGGGTGTGGTTGGCGGGAGGGGAGTGAGATATCTTCTATTTCTTTAACACAGAGCAAATGCTTTGTTTGCTGGTGGCAGACCATATGAAGAACATTTTGGAACAGGTTTCAATTGTATATTTTATCCTTGCATTTATTCTGGTTAAATTGCAAACCTCAAGAATGTGAGGTGTAGAATTGTTTTACAGTTTACTGTGGAATGAATATGCTATAACACCATCACTACTCAATGTCCAATTACAAATTGCTACCTTTAGGGGTTTTACTTTTTGCATGTGGACGTTGGAATTTTTAAACAAAACAACTGGAAGGAAAGTTTTGATAAGATCCATAACTCTGCAACAAACTTTGTTACAAAAAATCTTAACGCAACCTCTGGTGTCATGGTCAAACAAGAGCTTTAGTCTCTCTCCTGTTTTTCTGCTGCTCTCTTGCTCCTGCTCCTGTTCCTGTTTTGAGTCCTCTGCTCTCCCATGTTTCTAAGTGCCCTCCATTGATCGGGTTCCTACTTTTTTTTTTTCTGCTTCTGTAGCGCTCTTGTGCTGTTATGTCTGTTGAAAACTCTGACCTGTAACTTTTTTTTGTGCTTCTGCCAAGGATAGACAGGCTCTGCAGCAAAAAAAAATCAAGTATTTGTAGATAAGTATGTTTTCTTAAAGTACTTGTTATATGCAATAGCATCAAAGTATTTTAATCATGGATGGGGATGTCTTTGATTTAATAATTTATTTGACAATGGGTTCTTTAATCAACATGCTCTTCCTTTAGAGACAGTAACAATGTATTTCATTGTATATGTGTTTCACTTAGTAAATCTGACAGTCAAGAACTTCTAATTTGAGATTTCCTTTCCCTCGAGGATTTGTTTTCAGTCAGCAAAGTTAATCTCCAACCTTTTCCCACTCAAGTTGTTTGCATTATCTCAAGGAACAACTATCTGCACAACATTTGATGGATATACCATCTTCTTTACTCCCATTGTACCAACTTCAATACGAAGTGTTTCATTTAAAAAAAAAAAAAACCATCTCAAGTTCCATTAGCTCAGTTGACTGATTTGTGATACAAGCAGTGTGAGTTCAATTGTTGCACCAGCTGAAGTTACCATGAGTCGTCTCCTCAACTCCTCCCCTGCCTGAGGTGTGGTAATACTCTGGTTAAATGACTACAAGTCATCTCTCCCTCTCTTCAATGAGAGTACAGCCCTATGGTTCAGTAGGACTGCAACAACTTTACTTTCACATCTGCAAGAAGTTATGGTCTTACAAAAGAGGAAACAAAGTCATGGCCTTGATCGGTTTGTCACTTCCTGCAAGTAGTAAAATCAAAGTGCTCATCAGCTGAGTGTCTTGTCAGTTGAATAGTGAAGAAGATTTGAACCTTTATAGGTGGACTTTAAAAGATGTATCATTTGTGGGGTCCCTGCATAGGCATTAGTATTTCAATTTGCATTGTGCTAGGAGATTGTGTCAATTTGCTGACTCCTTCCTGATCATCTCCTTACTGGGGAAAGCAACCCTCTTTCACTTTTTCATTTGTGTAATCAAACGGCTTTCTCTCCCACTGCACCCCCCCCCCCCCCCCCCCCCCTCCACCTGTCTAAATTACCCATGGCACTTTGCATCTATTATCTGCTGTAACTTAAATCACCTGTTTCCAATTCTTCAAATTATATGCAGTCATGGTAAGGGAAATGCAGATCACTAAAGGAGTGGTGGGGAGAAACCAGCAATGTAATTCAATGAATTACTCCAATTAAATGTTTGTGTATATACAGAATTTTTCTGTTATATTTTACATAGGAAAGACCAACATAATTTTGGTAATAGTCTATTCTGGATCAAAACAGATGAGTATCTTCACAAAAAAATCACAGAACCTTTATTAATAACATGTTAAGTGGTTTTGTGACATATATGCTTTCAGTTTGAATGTAAACTTAAAGTCTGCAACAGCAGCATTAATAGAAAGCTTTGTACGTATTGATTCTGTGCTTTGACCAGTTTTATATATTTTGGTTTAACCTTAATTATGGCTTTAAGTTCACCCATCCTTTTCAATTTAATTCTCAAAATTAAAATCTGTCTTTTTTTTGGTTGAGTCGTAAGTGTCATCAGCACTTTTTGTCCACATGTGAAGTCAAGTTTTCTTCATAGTTGTTGATACCTGCTTGCTGTTTTGTTTGTTCAGAACATCCAATATCCAACAAGCTTTCTTGTCCGTGAAGAACAATGTCCATGACACCATGCTTAACCTTTGTGCGTCGGCTAAATTCCCTTCGAGAGTAAACTTGAACAGTATGGACATTTGTTTGAATTGAGGTGCATCCAACTGAATTTTTTTCACATACCGTTGACTTAAATGGTTTGACAGATGAATGAACAATCGTGTGAATCTTTAATATCTGGTTTTGAACAAAAGTTTTAAAGTGGATGTGGCACTGTTAAGCACAAACACTGGTACAAATCAGCACATGTCTCTTCCAGTTTGCTTGAAGGGTGAATTTGCATCCATACATCACGTTTGAAATCTTTCACTCCCTTGTGTGTAGGCGAGTGATCTTTCAGGTAATTAGAATGAGTAAATTCCATACCACGTTCTGTGTAGATATACAAGTAGATATTCTGATGTTTCATCGTGGTTGTGACGCTGACTTTACTAGTTGAAAAGTTTGTTGCACTTCGTACATTCGTATGGTGTTGCATCTTGATGTGCAACAATGATACAAAATCCAATATACATTTAATACAAATGCAACACCTACCGTTTTTAATGCTTTGCATCATGGGCCTTCAACTCACTGGAATAAGTAGAACCTCATCCGCAGCTGTACAGTTTGATGTTAGTATGCAACATGTGCTGTTTAGGGTAGCTTATTTGTGTGAAAGCTTTGTCACACACTTCATTTATGTGTCAAATGCCTTCATGAGTAAATGACTTAGCTGCTTTAAAACCTTGATTAGTGTTGGCATTCATGAGGCTTAATACCTCTGTGCCTCGATGTGAGTAACCAAGTTGTATTTGGAAGTGTATGATTTTTCACATAACTGACACTGTTATCACATCGGCCTTTCTCCAAAATCAAAACAATAGCAATCATTTTGTACATTCGTAAACCATCAATCTATTTGAGCTCTTCTGCTACAATCGGGTACAAATATCTTGGTTTCATTTGCCGTTAGGGTTCTCCCCTGTCACAGACTCTCCTGGAAGCTGTTCTTCCATTTGGACGAAAGGCAACAATTTAGTCATTGCAAAATAAATGTTCGTCAACTTCTTGTCTTCTGCGTCAGCCTTCTGTGGATCAGCAGAATTACAATGGAGGATTTCCTTTATAGTTAGGACAAGAACTTAGTGTGAACATCTTGAGCTCATTCACAAAGAGGGCAATACATTTGTTTCCTTTTTGAAGTTAATCTTCATCAACTTTATTCTGTGCCTGTACAGAACACTTGGAATGATTCTCCGCGTCGTATTCTGCTTCACCAGTTTTATTCTTAGAAGTTTCTCTCTCTTTTTTTCAGCATATACTAGCTTCAGGCAGCCACTTCCTCCTCTTTGCCTGTTTTTCAAACGTTTTAAAGCCGTTTCTGCTTCTAAATGTTCTTCCTCTTGTTCAAAACATTCAAATGTGTTTACCATGTCCACTCTAGGGCTCTTGTTGTCATGCATTCGAGTGCAATGCTTGTATTGATGGCAGGTGGTACGTGATAAATTCCATTCAGAGAATGGTAAATTTTAAAAGGGCCATTTTGGCCAACAAGTCCCAAGGTACTTGTTTGTGCAAAAGATAGTATTGCAACAGGATCTGCATTTACAAGTCATCCTCTATTTTTGAATTCATTTCCAATAGTTTCGTAGGTCTTTGGTCAACACAACTGCATGAAATACAGTTTTCTTGTTCTTGAATATGAAGTGAAAGAAAGAAGATCCACAGTCTGCCAGAAGGGGAAAAGAGGTGATGGCACCAAGTAAGCAGTAATTGGACATAATTCTGAACAGTTTATAGCGTTGTGTAATAATGGACTCTTCAGCAGCATCACCACCACCAATATCTGGCCCTAATTTTCAGACTGTGTGCGCACGCGCACTCACGGTGGGACTCTATCAAATGCCTTCTGGAAGTCCATATAAACAGCATTCATAAATTCCTCTATCCACTACCTTTAATCACCTCTTCAGAAAGAAACTTCAGGAAGATTTTTGAGGCATGACCTACCAGTCATGAATCCATGCTCCCTGATTAACTGAATATTTTCAAGGTGTT